AGTAGATGTCTGATACAAGTATGCTTTTTAATTTCGGAAAAAATATATGAATACTTTCTTCCATCAATAGCGCTTTAAGACATTGCCGTCAGAATAGAATAGTATGTGTCCATCTCCCACTAAATAGTCGCGACCCAATCTGATATTTTTATGAGCCGCGGGAGAAGTAGTGATTATGTTGTTTGGTGATTAATGGACTTGCGTTTCGATGTTAGGCATAACTAATGGGGTGATATTGCTGCTGTCTGTGGGCGTCAAATATGCCAGAACATAATGCAATTCTGTAATATTACGCTTTATCGCAGTTACTAAGATATGCGAAGCAAGCCTGCGTCTCCTCTCACTTAAGGAATAATTAGTGGAGATTGCCCAGTCAACATACTTCCCGGAGGCGTTCACTCAACAATGGTAATCTTTCTAAGTACAGCACATCACATTCTACTGGTTTTACTGACAACTGCCTAATGGATAAACAGATTCCTGCCAACATTATTTCTCGTATAATTGTTGACGAGTCTCGTGAAATAGCTCAGCATCCACTATCCAACTATTATTCCTTAGGATGTTTAATCATCTGAACATTCTTTATTTTCAAACGTCAATGTCAATTGCCTATTTGGAAAATCACCTAACCTAGATGGTTGTTCGTTCAAGGTTAAGGTGTTTAATGAGACAAAAACAAACCCTCCATTATTTCCTCAATAATAAGATTTAGCCAGCATGCATTCCTGAACCAGATACAGCGCCTGGTTGTGAAAAGAGCTATGTTGATGGCGATAATTCAGTAAGATGTAGAGTATGGTACGATTTAAGTTATAACTTCACACAGGATCGGCGTGAGGCATAGAATTTTGTCGAATAAATGTAGAGTACTACCGCGAGTATAATCAAGTTCTCAGTTACTAACAGTCAGCAAATGGTTGATTTTCTACGTCTTTATCCTCTATCATCCTTCTAAAATTATTTTAAACCCATATTAAGTTGATTTTTTTTGATTCGTTTCGGGAAAAAAGCCAAATACGAGACGTTGTCGGGAAGTAGGCAAGCCGATTAGCCGTCATTTCATTATTGGGTCGGATGTGGTTATGTAGCCCCACCTGAAGTAAACAAACCCCAATCATCTCTACTTCGGGACGACTGGTTATAATGGTTTTAACAGGCGAGCCAAGGAAGGCACAGGCGACGAGATCAAGTATTTGTACGCAAATGAAGGGCTATTGGCAATGCGCGGTTGTACTTTGAGTAGTTGAGGAATAGTTGTGCTAACCCATAACTCCTTACTGTTGACCCCTAACCATAACCCCTAACCCTTAACTCTTAGCCCTAACCCCTAACATTAAACCTAATCCC